TATAGCTACTTCCACTCTGGCAGCGGAGTTTATAGCGTGTTATGAGGCATCAAATCATGGAATATGGCTACGTAATTTTGTCACTGGGCTGCGCATTGTGGACAATATAGAAAGACCACTTAAGATATTTTGTGACAATAAATCAGCAATGTTGTATTCCAATAACAACAGGAGCTCGACAAAGTCAAAACACATAGAGATCAAATTCCTTGCTGTTAAAGAAAAAATTCAGAGTGGACAGGTGTCAATAGAGCATATTAGGACAAACTCCATGGTTGCGGATCCGCTTACTAAGGGATTGATACCCAAGGTCTTTCATGAGCACACTGCTCATATGGGTGTAATGTCTCTTGAGGATATCTAGTTTCAGTGGGAGTTTGCATTTTTTTGCTTTTCATATTGGACGCATGTATTGTTATTTTGGATACGGTTTAAAGTTAAAGTTATTTTCAGTTATAAAATTATTTGGTTAATTATCTCTGAATTTGTTTAAAATTATTTCACTAAGGCATTAAGGTGGACCAGTTGGAAATAGGCATGTTACAGATCACATTACATGTAATTTCCATGCTACACATCCATGCTTGATCCATGTCATTCGATTATATTGATATACGTGACCATTGATGGGTTTAGCTACGCGAAAGTAGCGAAAGCCGCTTTGATCCTATGTTGATATGATTGATGGACGGGATTGTTTGGGGATACATTCGGTAATGATAGCAAAATTCTGAGTACTCATAAGGTTATGTTTAATGCACAATTATAAGGTGACACATATAGCCCAAGTGGGAGATTGTAAGAATTTTTAATTAAAGATGGGCTTGTATGTGTGAATAATTGTGTGTTAAATTATTGGCTATCGAATTCGGTTGAGCCCGATTAAAGTGATCTAATAAGGTTTCGGTTTTGGGCTTTAATGTATCCAATTAAAGTATGGGTTTACATATGTGTAGAGACCGGGCCCAAGTCCTAATTCTATGATGGGCCGAATTAGGTCAAAGGGCATTCTCATATAAATAGGTTATGGTCCCCAGATCACACGCAACAGATTATTGTTCATTCTCTACTGCATCCCATCACAGAGAGGAAAAGGAGACTGCGTGTAGATTTGGAAGATCATACCGCGAAATCCATATTGCATTAACCATGTCAGATTCAGGTATGCTTCCGCTTTAATTATTATATTTCTTGATGATTTAACATGAAAGATCCGATATTTTAAAGTATTAAATTATCCAACACTTCATCCTTAGTTTTCATCAAGTAAAGCCAAGACATGCGAGTGCAGTCATCAACAAAAATAGTAAACCAACGAACCCCAGATCCAACAGAAATAGGAGAAGAACCCCACACATCGGAATGAATTAAAGCAAAGGGGATACTACTTTTATTCATGCTCAAAGGATATGAGTTGCGATGACTTTTGGCAACAATGCAAGTATCGCATTTTAAACTAGAAATATCCATATTCAAAAACAAATCAGGCAATAATTGTTTCAAATAACCAAATGATGGATGTCCTTAGCGACGATGCCAGTGCCAAATTTGTTGTTCTCGAGCATCACCCCGAACAAGATGTGTACTTCCCACACTGAAATCTTCCAAATAGTATAATCCCCCTCTTCTAGTACCACGCTCAATTATCTCCTTCGTGAAAATATCCTGAAGAAGGCAAAAAGTAGGGTAAATTAGCATCACACAATTTAATTCTTTAGTAGCTTGACTAACAGATAACAATTTATGGGAAAGTGATGGCACAAGTAATGTATTAGATAATTGAAGAGAGGGAGACAAAGTCACAGAACCAGCCCCTGTGACTGGAGAAAGAGTCCCATTTGCATTTGCAACACTAGTGCGTCGTGGTGGGGATTTTTGAGTAAAATTTGCAGCATCAAAGGTCATGTGGTCGGTGGCCTCGGAGTCAAGTAGCCAACCACCACGTGTATTATCTTCCTGCAAAGAGGAAATAAATGTAGAGCCAAATGTACCTAAGTCAAAGTCAGGACCTCCATCTGTTGACAATTCAGCTTGGGGAATTAGAGATAGTGGAGAGTTAGTTGTCACCACAGCTGCCTTTCCTGTGCTTACAACTGCACATGGTCGTTTCTTCATAGCCTACAATTCATGCCACCAATCGGGGTATCCATGGAGTTTGAAGCAATTATCACGGGTGTGTTTTTTATTACCACAGTAAGAACATTTTCCCCCTTCAATAGTGCTGCAAATTTTGGAACCAACGGTCAATTTTCCTGTACCTCGAGATGATGTACCAGTAGAGGTAGGAACACTAGAACCCAACTGCAACCTCTTTGTGACCAGAAACGCACCAGAGACAGTGGCAAGGTCGGTTGTCATGAAAACCTGTCGGAGTGCTTCCCGGCGAACCTGTGCATATACTTGTTCGATGGTTGGAAATAGTTTCATCTGGAGAACATCGCCTTTTACACTATCCAGTTGGTCATCAATTCCATCCAAGAATTTGTATACTTGTTCTTCTTGGACCGGAGAGTTATATTTGTTGATGTCAGTAGCACATATCATTGGATTGGGGCGACGGAAGTCAATTTCTTGCCAAAGTCCCTGCAGTTCGGAGTAGTATTTCTCAGGGAAGTCATTGCCTTGTTTCAGTCGAGACACTTGTCGTCAAAGGTCATAGATTTGAGAAGAGTCGTTGCCATCAAAAAATGTAGTAGCAATGGCATCCCAAATTGATTTGGCAATAGGAAATCTAATGAAATTACCAATGAGTGTTGGATCCATGGAGTTTATCAACCAACCTTTGACGATGGCATCTTCGGTGCCCCACTTTCGAAAAGAGGGATGAGTTAGAGAGGGTTGAGGGAAATCACCATTGATATAACCCAGTTTGTCTTTGCCGGAGATGTACATCTCGACAACCTGGGACCATAGAGTGTAGTTGGAACCATACAACTTGACACCAATCTAGCCAGCTGTAGTTTCACGGGTCACAGTTGGGATCTGGGCTTTGGTCAAAAATTCTGTCATTTTTGTGGTAATTGTATCTGTGAGAAGGGTGTCAGGATCACCATGAGAGTCACCAGATTTTTCTTCAGTTCTGATGTCCTCCATGGTCGGAAAAATTGAAGCTTTGGTTAGGAGGTGGTGGTAATGGCAACACCCTAGAAAACGTGCTGCTTTGATACCATGTGATCTTTTTCCATTTTATTGCATATATTTTTACATTGATAGGTTACAAATAAATAGAATAAGAAAAAACTATTTTTAGCTATATAATCTATTTTTGACTACTGTGGGTGGAATCATGAGAGGAATTCCCTATTTTGTTCCTAAATTGGTTCTAATAGCTCACGCCAACATTTACAACATAATGGAGGAACCAAGGACTGGTCTTCTAATCATATCACCAAGATACCTCTTACCCGTGCTAGCAACATAAGAGCGTCTCCAATGGTGGCGTAAAATTGAGTGTAAATTAGTATCTTCAAAATCACTTTTGCATCCTCATTTATATCCCGGTGGATCCAAATTTGAATTTTGCTTGATGATCTAAATCCACCTTTTGCATCTTATAGATATAAATTTACATTTTTTACTGAAAAAAATAATTTTCTTTTGCATCTCGAGAGGTTTTCGGCCACTTTGGAGATCTAATTCGCAATTTAGATCTATTTTTCACCACGATTGGAGCTACTCTAAGACGTGTAGGAAATCGAATCCCGTGGAGTAGCTTAAATAAAACCGCTGAAGCGCCGGTTTTAATTTGCCCAACATTTCAGTTGATTAATTTTGATCGAGACCTTGCTCATATCAGCTTCAGTAAAATATCGGGCATTTACGAGAAGCAAATCAAATATAATCATAATATGTCATATTGTTGAGTTAGCATTGAATTCTAGTTGTACTATCTGTATACAGCAAAAGTCCTCTATCATCCAATACACATCTCGACTAGTTCGAGTTCAGATGGTGCTGTAGGAACAACATAAGATGATCTCGATAGTCATATAAATATTTACTTTAGTGCTTTATCAACAACACAAGGCAGAATTCATTATACAAAGATATATTTTCATCATTCACGCAATAAGAAATTTACAATACAAACCAAATCATAAAACAGTGATCTAGACAATAGATAATAGATAACTAAATTTTACGATTTAGTACTAGGCATCGGACCAGGTGATATCCAACTCGCCCACATTGCCAGATACTCCTAAGGCTTTCCATACAGCTTTAGAGGCATCGACAATGTTATTATCACATGGAGGTTGATAATCATGGTCGTCATCACATCCCATGGTAGAATCACACTCGTCAACCACCATAGCAGTTACACTTCGGCCATTAGCAGTTATTGTGATATTGTTAAGGCATCTTGATCCTCCGCTGTACCATCCAGTTGACAGAGCGACAACTGGTGTGTCATCGGAGTGGTACTTGTTGTCACATTCTGATGGTGCACCGCCATCTCCACCCTTCTCGAAGCTGTTAATCGTGAGAACTGCCTTAGTGCTACCGGACACTGATGGTGAACATTTGTAGGTGGTGTAAGATTTTCCCTGTTTACAGCAGTCAGATTGGTTTTCCTGGTTGCATTGTCCAGGGGGAGGCTTTTTTCCAATTATTTTGCCACTTGGCTTGCACTCTTGAAGTCTAGCCTCTGAAAAATGAGTAACAAGAAAGAGTAGCACAAAAAGAAGAGCTCCTGAGCTTAATTTCTTCATCTTTTCTCTCGAATCAAAACACAAGTATTGATGAGATGATTGAGTTTGGTGCAAATTCTGATCAAAGGATTCGTTTATATATAGTTTGGCCAAAGAAAATGCCAAGATTGTGCTCAAGGTAAAAGAAATACAAAAATGAAATACGTCAGATTAGTATTCATAAATAATGTTAAGGTTAGTCATAAAGTCCATGGGAGGGTTCAAATAGAACCATGACTGTAAACTATGCTGCGTTTTTCTGTATATTCACGCAGAAGCTCGAGCTATTAAAAATGAGATGCTATTAATTATTTATATTTTATTTTCTATGCACTATCTCACATGCAGCTCGTATTAACGGTTATACTTAAACCTATTAAATTATCTCATCTAAAAGTTTAAGTTATTTGCGAGATGTAAATTTTATATATTTATATTTATATATTGTCTTTAACCATGTGAGTTTTGTGATTATTAAAGCCATATGAAAAGGAACCTTCAAATAACTTGTATACCATATCTCAATCCTCAGTCGTCTGTTCATTTTTTAAGATTCCATCAACATTTTGTCCCATGTTTTATTTCTATTTTCCTTTGAAAATCCCAGAAGACATTAGATGTATGGCAATTTGTTGGTGTTCTTTGACCAGTTCTGTCAGAGTGCAAAATTAGATGTAGATTACCATTTAGTTAAGATATCAGTCTCTGTCACTGATGTTGAAAAGTTTATAAGCCACGGCACAAACAAATAATTTTAATGATAAAAGATTTGATAGATTAAATTAGTGGCCTGGCCTGTTGAACTGTACACTGGAATATATGACTGACCCTATCACTTTTCACATGATGACATAATTCATAACATGTTTGTGTATTGAGAACTATAATGGTATTTTCAGCATAATTCATAACCAATTTATTTTTGGCATTGAGAGCCATTCGCATGAGCAACGCCGTGTGGGATAATTGTCGCCAGTGAGTAATTCTAGGGCCAAAATAGCACTGGGATTATCTGCAGCAGTCAGGAAATAAGGTGAAGTGATCACTGTCAAGTTGGGCTGGTGTGAAGGTGACGATGGTGTCTGCCATGGTGAAGATGCGAAAGTGTTCAGAGATCCCAAAGATCAAGATGCTCTGTTGCCATGATAAAAGAAGAGATGAAAGAAAATATTCTATATTTTACTGTGTTTCCTTGATGATGCTGTAAATGGAGATTACAGCATATATATAGAATAGAGATACTACAGCACAAGGGAAGGTAAATAACAGTGAGCTGTGAGCTTAATCGGTGCACTTTGTGATGCTTGAATAGTGCAATCCGTGTGCTAGAAATAGCAGTGAGCTGTGGGGCTTGACTAGTGCAATTTGTTTGCTGTTATAATGTGGTGAAAATGGCATTGAACAGTGAAGCTTAACTAGTGCAATCTGTCTACTGGAATAATGTAATCTGTTTGCTGGCTAATAGTTTGAGTAATTACTCGATATTTTCGTGCTATAGACGGGATGTTATATTGGAAGGCCAAAGTACATTAACAACACTACCATAAGTGCTAAGGGCCAAAGAATAAGTGCTCTAGTCATTGTATGTGATTCTACTGTGGGATGTAATGAGGACCACGATTATCAACATTACATAGCGGTGCTTGCATACGACATGGTCCAATGCCTAGCATAGTTTATTACAATTGCAATTGTGATCTTGTTAATATTAAAGCATTTTAAGAATTTTACTTCCCGGTTTACTAATTTATAGCTTGAAAATTTTCTCATTCCTAGTCCACCTATATATAAAGAATGTTCGTTTCACTCGCTGATAGTACTTTTTTTTTTGGATGAGTATAATATAGCTAAGAATGTCAAGAGACAACCAAGGATTAACTTGTTGAAAACGTATAAGAAATGCAATAAAAAAAATCTCAAGAAAACTGTCAACCAGCTCATTTAAAAGTTTAAAGGGTGTTTTAAATTATAACCAATTTTGGAGGTAGGGTTGAAAAATTTTGGCCAATTTTTATTTATTATTGATTATTTTTATTATTAATATTATTATTTTTTTACAAAAGTGTCCATTTTTTTATGTCAAAGGGCGAAAAAACCATTTTTGTAAGAATGGCCAAATTTATTATATGGTGTAGATTTCTTAGTACAATTCTTGGTGTAGATTCATAGTATCCTTGTTTACATTTTGTTCTGTATCCATGTCAAATTTGTATATCATTCAATGTAATTCAAGATGTACTAGTTTGGATGAATCAGAAACCTTTTCTCTTGTGTAGGCAAATTTTCTTCATTGCGATCAAATTAAGTACTGCACTAACTGGTTAGCATGGTTTGAACCATAAATCTCATAATCATCAATATTAGTTACAGTGGATTTGATGACAACAGGCGGACTCATTAAGGGTCTTGTGGGTTTAATTGCCCCAATTGGACCCATAATTTTTAACATTGAAAAAAAAATGCCATTATAATTTTAGCCCATAATTTTTAATACAAATCAATTGCCCCCATTGGATCCGCCCCGACAAACGAGGTTCATAATGGCTGTTTATGTGAGTAAAAGTTTTATGTGACTTTATGAAGACCTAAACAGTAGATTCTCTAAGCATGTAAAATGAGATCAGTTTTAGTGATGGCAACAGGGCGTGTTCAGGCGGGACGTCCCCACCCCACCCCGCCACGGCTGGTCGGGGATGGGGTAACTTTTTGCCCCGTTTAATATATATATTTTTTAATGTTTCAAGTTATGTTATTATTAGAAAATAAAATACAAGTTCAAAATGAATTTTGAACGGGTGAATTGTTTAGAAATAAAATTATTTTTAATTTTTTTCCTTCACGGGCCGGGTTTTATTGCCATCCCTCATCAGTTTTGAGGTTACATCGTTGTTTTTATTTCTAGCTAACAAAATACTCAAATACGAAAGGGTTATTGTTGTTGAACCGGTTTAAACTTTAGACAAAAGAAAACGTTTCCTTCACATGTAGCTGAATTTATTTTCAGCTTTGCTACAGTGACAAGGAGAGGTTGATACCTTTTTTTTTTAAATTTTTTTTTTTTTTTTTACTT